CAAATAAAATTTTTAATTTTAGTTCCGTTTTTCGCCACGCCCATTCTCTTTCCGCACAGACTCTACTAACTTTCAGCTCAGCTCAGCAATACTACTTGCACGGATTGATGTCGATTGATGTCTAATCCGAGATAATAAGTATAGCGAGGGCGCGGACTACCAGGCTACTAGTAACTTATTTGAACTAAGTTTATAACTTTTGACATAGTTTGTAGTTTATCATCCCCTAATAGTTTATAAGACAGCATAACTAGGTATGTAATAGGTATTAGCTCAATAATGAATGGTCAAAACAGCACTGGGCACGCGTGATGGTTGTTTTCCTTTCTCTTCATTCGGTTTACAGGGAAAGCTCTGCGGATGCAATAAGATATGTCCAAGCAGTTGATACATGAATAGGCTGATGATTAGTCAATGGCTCACTATCTTACAGCCACACGCCGAGAAGACAATTAAATTTTAAGTTTGACTAAAGTTGAAGCTGTCACTTTATTTTCGTTAGAAACAGAAACACGAGACCTAATTAAGCAATATATTATTTTATCGTGTTTATAATAGGCTATAACAGTTAATAGCTATATTTTTATGTTTTTGGAGTGAAAACTTCTTTAGCGTCGTTGTGTCTTGATATTCGATGTAACGGAAGTAGAGAATTGGACAAGATATGTATTCGTAATTTAATCATTTACTATAAGAGATAGATAGCCGAACGGTAATGGACTTGGGGCCGACACCAAATGAGCGGTGGTTCGATCCTGAGCTCGGTTATTTTTATTGTTTTTTTTTCTTTTATTAAGCTATTATTTATTATTCGAAACAATTTAAGTAACTATAGAATATTTAAATTTACCCAGTATTTTATAATACCTGAATATTTGGTAGGTTCCTAAGTTGTTTATGAATACAGGCTTAGTTTTTATCAACAATCCTTGCCTTTCCAATGTTTGCAGTTTTTTACAGTATTTTTTTATAAATAATTATTTCGAAAAAAGCCTTAGATAGGTAAAAAAATAAAGTTCAAAGAGCACTGCATTTTTATTTACAATGCCATCTGTATATAGTGCCTAAACTAAAGAGACTATAAGCAGCGATAAGAATGTTTTCTAAAGCATACTAATGAGCAAAAAACAGGACCGTCCACAGAGAACACTCAAGTGTCTTCGGACATTTGACTGGATTTTTTTATGACACTCAAGTGTCATAGGACGTTTGGGAGGGTACAAAGCTTAAGAAAAGGCATCACAACAACCATGGTATATTGTGTTCGTGTACGTATTATATTATGTTTGTAGAGTTTTTTCATCATTTTATATCTATCGCACAAGCAAGGCAGTGTTTTTGTAATCAATCGATCCCGCAATCGTGCGTGGTATCGGATTCAGTGCGAAAGGATCGCGCTGCCTCGAAGCCTAAGAAGTACTAGAGAACTTGGACATGTCCATGGCTGCGGTAGCATGATGGTCAGTGCATTCGCACGGATAGCGAAATGGACTGCTGCCTAGTCCGTGTGTTTTTTTTCTAGTTAACGTATATTAAAATTTAAACATCTGGCAGTTTAATGCTTAAAATATGCGTATAACAACATAATAGTTCTAAGCTTACAAACTAATAGTTAATAGCTGTCAGTGGGACCACATACACCCTTGTTAGTACAGATGAGCGAGTAATGCTCAAATAGAATATTTTCATAAGCACTAATCACGCACGCACTCGACCCATTCCAGTTTCCAATTCATTAAACTTTTGGGTATAGTAAAGCCCGTTGGGGAATATCATAATTACTCATTAAACACTAAGGGGTTTTACGTGCGTGATTGTACCCTCAGTGGGACGTAATATGCGAACATTAGGTTAAATTACCGTTCAATTTCCAGATAGGCGGCCGTGGTCCGATGTTGATATTTCATTATCGGGTGAAAGGCTTGATAATATTTCCTCTGCCCTGTTCTACGGGTCTGGATGTACGAGTACGTGATGGAAGCGTTTTGTAAAAAAAAATATTTTTTGGTAATGGTGCACATTGTTGATACTATAAAAATATTTATAACCTCTGTCTCATCTGCAAGATATTTTTAGGGTTACGTACTCGAAAGTTAAAGAAAAGAACGCTATGGGCTGACACTTTGGATGAGTTATGGAACTGAAGGTGTGGTATTTTATCATGAATGCGTTCCAAAGCCAAAAATTTTGTTAAAAATTCAATAAATATATTTTTATGAATCCCATGCATGATAAAGGAGACGGTTTTTTTAAATACCCACATATATATGTGACACATTCTTATCTAGAACTCGTTGAGTTATACATATAAGTATATTTTTTATTAAATAACAAAGAAACGGGGTCTATTTCAATATTAAACTTTTCAAATACTTGCTGTGCCCGCGACTTCGTACGCGTGAATATCAGAAAATAACATCATGTCACAATGTATGTTTCCAGTGAATTGAAGAGTTCTGCTTTATAGACACCGTTTTACGTAAAATCATTTAGTTTTTTACTTTTGGCAATAGTAAAACCGAAAACTAACCAATAGATGGTACTAAAGTTCATTCCGCAATGAATATAGAGTTCGTTCTTAAGTTCCTACAGAATAACACAGCCGTTATGAATAAACGAAATTTTCTGATACCTCAGCCTTATCCATGAGCCTTGTATTAATTTTGTCATCAATTTTAAATCTCAGTAAATACGTGGTGTATCAACTACAACTTAGTTACACAAGTGGTATTACCTAGCATTTTACCTTAACACATAATGACTTCCACCGTCTATTATTGAAGAATTTTCCGTGTCGTTTCAGAATTAATAAAGTCGGCCAGGGGTTGATAACAGTCTTATTACACCCATGTCACGTCAACATCCGACCCGTGCGCCATCGCACCCAAATCTGTTGAATTAACTAACCAATTCCTTCCTTCTGCGACGCTAATAAGATTTTCCATCCCGCTTACACTTAGCCGTCTTTAAGCCAAAATTATTCTCCATAAATGTAAAATGCAGTAAATATCATATTACACGAGATTGTTAACACAGCTTTCATAATGTAAACCACAGAATATGAGGTTTCGAATATTTTCTGTTATAAAGTGAAGTACCTATGACTGATTCAAAATCTAGTATTTTAATCTGAATATGAGTTAAGGAGGTTTACGATATGATATATTTTTTTTAATTTACCCGATGCTTTAAACAGAATTAATTGTCTTTACTATCATATTTAAAAGACAATAGCGGAAATTAATCGTTATGCCTCTGAGTTGCATAAATTTTTCACAAAACATGAAAAAATGCATATAGTTCTCCTCTCGAAAATTTGCCTGAAAACAATCAACAGTGATATAAAGCTTTTCCTAATAATTAACTTGTCGTACAGTGAACATCAGTAGCGCATCAGTTAGGTACCTCCCACTTTTTTAAATGGACTCGATCTTTTTGAAACTCTGTTTTAAAAATTAAATACATATATAGATAAACAAAGACCTAAACGTAGTAACGAAGTTTTTAACTTGCATCACTTCAGTAAAAACATTCACCGTACAAGATAATTCAGTCAAAGTAGATAAAAATAATATAAATGGGTACTTAAATTTTTAAATTCTACATAATCAATTAAAGTTTGAGATTTACCATGTTCATATACCTGATCTAAAGCGAGCCTTACAGTCGCGTATGATGTGTAACATTTGAAAGCTCACCTTATATTAGTAAAAAAAGAAACAAAACCACTATTAAAGGAATAAGCCATTTAAACATTATGTTCTAAAATCAATTCAAATAGCGCGCTTCCCAAACTTCCTGTTACACACTTCCATCCCACTTCACGTAATCACTCCCACAGATTGCACGAAAGCGAGAGGATAGATGTTACACATCAAAAATGAGTCTTATTTATTGACCGTATTTTATTTACACATTTTTTATATGCAAAATCAGCTATGAATGTATGTAAACGATCCGATTTCGTAATGAAACATACAGAAACTTTGCGCTTCCACCATTTGCTAAATATATTTTTTTCTGCTGGCATGCAAATTGGAAAACAAATCCTGTGTTTTTATTGAGTTAGGGAAATGTTACCGATGAATTTTGTTACGTGAAAGGTGGGTCAAGCGTAGGTGCCTATATCGAAACTGGGATATGTAAAGATACCTATTTTGTTTTTATTTAAACGAACAGATCATCTATATCGTCGATATGAAAAATTGTTGTAAACGATAAAACACAATATTATAACCTAAATTCAAAATATAAATACGTCAAAAGTGAAAAAAAAAATCCATTACTTTAATAACATTTACATCTAAACGGAATTCAAGACTATAAATTTTTAATCGAGTGCCTGGCCTTTATGAACTTTCGTAGTCTTTACCATATAAAGAAAAATCCTAACCAAACAGACTTGACAATGAGTTTAACATTTTCTACATGTATATACGTTAAAATAATTTAAAACAAAAGATATTACGATTTCGACGATTTGAATTTTTTATATGTTAATAAGTTTCACTGCTTTCTAATTCGATATAACGATGAATGTACTACATACTTCTAATGTAGAAACTAAAAAAGAACTGAATATTAGATAGACTGATGCATTAGCACCATAAACCCCTTAAATAGTCCGTTGGTTTTGAAGGCTTCAGCCTCGTACTCAATATCAAATATTACTATTCTTAACTATAAACAAATCTTTTAGCAGGTCAGGATCAGTATGCAGTATACCCTAAGTACGAACCAATATCGTTAACGAATAAGTGAATTCAATTTCAATACGCATTAACAGCTCCACAACAGACGTAACGAGAATTAAAAATCTTCCATAAAAAACTTCTTGATATTTGACGTGTATCGAGATTGAATTGGATATTGGTTCGTGCTAAGGGTACAGAATAAATACGCCCTTAAACATTACCTAGAAAAGTTCTTAATAAAAATGTATCCATGAGTCACAAGCCACTGTAAGCTAACAAGCATTAATAGATGTCTTTTGTTCGCAGGGGTCAACGGGTTCGAGATGACTACAGACAACCCGTTAAACTCTCAACGGTAAGTGTTAATGAATAAAGGCGTAATTCGAGTTTTACATCACGTAAGTGGATGGCATGCGAAATTTAATCTTGTGAATTCTGAATCCTTGAGTTCAAATATTTTTTGGGTAATTTTTTATATTAAAAGGATGGCGACCAAGCATAATTACGGCCTGCCTGATGGTAAGCGGCTACCATGTTATGTGGAGGTTACTTTCCCGATTGGGCGCTCCAATTCGAGCGGAAAATCCGCTATGCCTCTCTTAACCAATGTAGTAAAGGTATAGCCATATAAGAGAGAGTAGTGTGATTTCGACCGCTTATAGAAAACATTATAAATAGCTTCTTGGCTTGGCTTCAAAGAGGCAATAGTCTCACCACAAATCGACGGGATAGTCAAGATCTTGGGACCATGTTTATGAGTAACTCGCTCACGTATAAAACGGGTTGAATACAATTTAATCATATTGAATTTTGATGTTCAAATGGCTCAATTTGGTCTCCCATAACTTACTAGATATATCTGATTCATCATAATTATTATTTTATGTCTTGTAGGCTTCGATCAACGATACAAGCTTTGTAGGACTTGATAATAATTTGAACCTTATTTTATTTAACCTTTATCATCATGATCTGCACGCGGCAGATATAAATAATATAATAACACCACATTTGTATGCCAGGTTGTCTGCGAACAGCATTGCCAGCTTACTATCCAATCGCCTACTGAAGTTTCCGAAACTGTTAATAAATAATCATGCTACTTCACATATAGGTTTTCTATTATGTTTTGCATTTAAAAGAGGTTCACAGTGCACAGTGGATTTCTCTCGATTTTCATAATGTATTATTCTCTAATATTGTGAAGTGGAGTTTTAGTGTTGGCGATACCTATGTCCAACACAATATTAGAAAATATTGTTACTATATTTTCAGAACTCCATAGAATTAGCCACGTGAGTGATGCACTCCGAGATCAGAATATTTTAGTCGCTTATCATCATGCAGGCATTGTTTGCTTGATTAATGACTCTTTCCGCAAAAAAGTAAAACAACATATTATATTTGTACAGGGTGTTCAAGAAGTCATCTCCAAGCAACAAGTTGACATTGTACCTGGCGTCAAGAGACCTGATAGTAGAAAATGGAACCATCGACAAGATACAGGGCGTGCTACACATCGAACCTGACCATTGGGATCCGAATAAGAAGCTCTATGGACAAGTCACGCTAACTTTCAGGTATTTACCTTACCTTATCTTTTTTACTAGAAGGAAAATGCATGACGCATACCCCGGCGCCGGGATATTTATGACGCCGCCTCCTTCCACCTCCTAGTTAGCCAGCCTAAAGGATTGGATCCATTAAAAACCCAACAAAACTCCACACCTCACCTGGGGTGGCCCCATCTGGCGAGTGGCTGTCAGATGGCGTCCATTCCGCCCAGTGAGGCAAAGGTACTGGCGAGGCCTTGGAAGCCTTTATGGATACTTCTGCGACTACTTCACTTCTTCTTCACAAAGGAGTGTCCGGTTCAAAGGGATGGTTCTTTTTCCCCGAGGAAGAGGGCTGGGATTTCCCCGGGAAGATACTCACCAACCTAAGTTAATAAAACCACATAATTTACTATTTCTCATTAGTTTTCAATCGATTATTATTTGCACTCAATTCAAGTTCAGGAAACTTCTGACGGTAATAACACATTATATTTTTGAAATATTGTGAACCTACTCTGGACATTGAAGTTTCAATGGACATAGAATAACATGAAATTCAATACTGTATTTGAAAAGAGATATAGAAAAGGAAGCAAGGTGACTTAATAGATATCGTCGCCCACGTTCGTTGAATAGCATTTTGATGGTTTGACTCCTTTGTTGGGGAGTTACTATTGTTGCCTTTCGCAACAATGGTAAAAACATTACCGGTCCATCAGAACCGTTTCTAAAACTCTTCCGTCCGTTGATGTACTTTACAATATTTACAGGAAAGTTAATTGCTATAAAAAAAGTAAACGACAGATTAATCAAAACCTTAAAATTATGCAACTGATTTTAAAGTTCATTTTGCTTGATCTACAAAGCTGGTAAAAAATATATTTTAGTAAACAAAACACTTCTTAATACATTTTTTTAAACGAAAAAGAGATTTTAATTCCCCGCCAATATAATATTGTTCTTCAAAAATCAACACTAAAGCGACTCGACGTGCAGCAACAAAGGCAACAACTGGGAATAAAATCTTCCGTTTAGACTCGAATCCGGAACTGTACGGAGCAGAAATTGAATCCTGAATGTTTGAATACACTTCCAGCTCACGCTATTATATACCGGCTGCCGCTCTCTTTATTTCGGACGAAGATGACGATGGTTCCCTCACGATTAAATTTTTAAATGTTCAATATGACATTTGAGAATACCCCATGAAAGGAGGAAAAGAAAAAGGAAATTTAATGTTATTCCGAAAGAACAAAATATTTTAGTGACTGACATACAAGTAGTAAAAAATTTCGTTTTCCGCCGTCTGTGTAGGCTTATTATTTTTGAAGTGAAAACTTCTTTAGCGGCGCTGTACACTTTTTTTTGTATGGGTAAAAAATGTTAAACTCGCGTCAGGTTAAAAACGCGGGCTGATCGCATCATGACACACAATAAAATTGGAAAGGTTGTTGACTCTCAATATATTGGACGAAACATGGTAATATTTATTTTATCGTATTATAATAATAAGTCTCTATCTAGGACGTCCACGTGGCAGCTTTATTGCGAAGATTTTTTTTTTACAATACATGTCGCTAGGTGCGCTTAAATGTGATTCATGTAGATGTCGCTAAGGGCGCTTAAACGTGATTCATGTAAGTTGATTTTTCTGAGAGATAAACTTTTTTAATGTAATATAAATTGTCATGTTTGTGTACGATAGATAAATAAATATTGTATTCTACCACATACATGATAGTACTTTTATACTGATAAATTAAAGCAATTCCAAAATATCAAAAATGCACGACGTTAATATTCAAGTTTTCACTTCTGCCGGCACTCCCAGAGTGCAACCAGTTGTTGTTGTTGTTGCTTATGAAATAAAAGAGGAATTCAAGTCCCGGTACGGTAGCATCATCATCATCATCAGCCTATTAATGTCCCCACTGTTGGGGCACAGGCCTTCCCTATGGATGGAATAGGGAGATTGGGCCATGACCGGCCACGCGGGCCCAGTGCGGATTGGTGGGTGCTAACGACTGCAGATGCAGCCGGGACCAACGGCTTAACGTGCATTCCGGAGCACGGAGGAGCTCGAGATAGTAATTTTTGGTCACCCATCCAATGACCGACCACTGCGAAAGTTGCTTAAGTTCAACGATCGCAGCCGAACGCGCTAAAGCATACGGTACTGTAGCGTCCTACGGTAGCATAATTGGTTAGTATGACCACTCTGATAGCAGAAGGTATATGTTTGAATCCTGACCGATTCCTGCTCACCGATTTATATATCTGGCAGTTTAATCCTTAAAATAACAATAGGTAATTATAATTCAAAGACAAAATTGAATTAAACTCTACTCTATTTAATGTAGTTACAGTCATTACTAAAGCAAATTGGAATAAATACAATGAAGCATTATTGACAAGTTGCTCGTAAGTAATTTAATGCCGATACTTTAGAATTCAATTAGGATTCAAATAAACAACATCGGCACGGCAAACACATTTTGTGCGATGAATAAATAAGCAGGATCTGCATGAGAATGAAAATCGAATTGAATCAGTCACCTACCTGTTTGTTTGGGAAAGTTTTGTTTGAAAACTCCTAATGAGTAAGAGCTTACACTCGAAGTTTAAATTAACAATTTGTATACGTTGTAGCTAGCTAAATTTCAAACGTTCTCTTCGCCTGCTTTGCATGAACAGTCGGTGAGATTAGGCTGCTGGGGCACAGGCCTTCCATCCCTAGGAATAGGGAGACTGAGCCGTGATTGTGACCCACCACGTGGGTCCAGTGCGGATTGGTGAGTACTAACAACTGAAATACAGCCGGGATCAACGGCTTAACGCGCCTTCCGTAACACGGAAGAGCTCGAGATAATAAGTTTTTGTCACCCATCCAATGACCGACCATTGCGGAAGTTGCTTAACTTACACGATCGCAGGCCGAACGCACTAACCACCTGCGCTATGGAGCCCCTCTTTACTAATAGTGAACTATTTACTGTACTATTCACAAATGCTGATATCATTAATTGGTTAAATTTAGAAAAAGTCATCAGTCACCTAATAATATTTTTATTTCTGAGATTCAAAATACCCCCTTCAGAAGATAAATAATGCAGCTCCAGAGCGGGTGGTTAAAATGGACATGAAAAGTATTATTTCTCTATCTACCTCTTTGTTCGCACAGATTCCAAGATAAATGATTCAGCGAAAAGTATAAAAGGAGACTTCGTTTTGCTTTGGTACACTTTCTTTCTTTATAGGATTCCGTACCTCGAAAGGAAAACATGGAACTTTTATAATACCACTTTTTTGTCCTTCTGTGTGTCTGTCTGCTTACCATAACCTTTTATCTCGGGAACGCGTGTAGCTATCGAGTTGAAAGGACATTGCTCGTTCCCCATACATTGAATGCCCTATAGCGCACAGCAATGAGAAAATGCTAGTTATGTTCGGAATCATTCATAAACTCTAATTATGATTATGATGATATGATTTTTATAAGGAACATAACATCAGCTATATATATTTCGAAGGTTTTCTAAAGTAAGCAGGTGATGACTTTTACAAATCTGAATGCACTGATCAGATCAACATTCATTTAAGCAACATTCCTCATTTTAAAAACATGACCAAGGTACTCATCATATTGTAGTTAGGGTCCGTACTTACATAATGGTATTACTCGTAAGCTTTACTCTTAAGCGAGTCAAAACCAACGTGTGGACTGCAAAACTCACAACTCGAAGTTTCTAGGATCTCGTTTGTAGGATGCGACGTATTGATTTTTACCCGCCTTGGAGTTTATTTGTGTATTTATTTATTGACCCTTATATAACACAGTACGTTACGTTTGGCATGTCATGTTTTTACTAATCAAAATAAGTTACACCTAGTGAACTTATGAAATTTTGTCTTAGTATATTTACATTAAATCGATAAAAATATAATTCATAAAAATAAAATAATATAAAAAAGTAAAATACTAATAATAATACTAATTTCAGAAAACATAAAAAATATTCATAAAAATGTAAAATCGACAGTTCATTAAATATATATCAGGACATCAATTAAATTAAAAAAATGTATAATAAACAATTTATAAAATGTACAACAATCAATTCATAAAATATATCAAGACATCAATATTGGAATTTAAATATTAAAATCAAGTCAATACTATTAGTCTATATACAAATTATTTATTATTGATATTATAAAGAGGAAAAGTTTGTATGTTTGTAACGACTTAGCTCAACAAGTACTAGACCGATTTTAAAAATTCTTTCATCATTTAAATGCTACATTATCACTGATTAATATAGGCTATAGTGTATTTTCAAAAAAGTTAGGGTTTCGTATGAAAACTTTGATAATGTAACCCAACGTGTGTAAAATATACCATAAAATTGTCTTATATCGCGTACGCTGCGAAAGTCATTCATAATAGAGCAAAGTAATGTACTAAAGTTTTATAGAAGATACCAATACCTAAGTCCGCCATACCATATGTCTAACTATTATAGTTATGTCACAACGAGAGGTCCCCTGCGGTTTCACCCGCGTTAATTTAAAGAAAAGGGTTTATAGTGAGTCAAACTTAAATATGTACATGGGCTGTAATCGACTTTTTTACAGAACTTTTAAAGGGGAAGAAGGGAAGAAGAATTCCGTCATACATGATTTTTGTGTAACTTTAACAGTTTATCTAGCCTAAGTAACGGAATCTTACAAATGGAATATTTTTACCCGTTTTTTCAACATTTTTCATCTATGTTCCCCTGCTACTGGTCGTAGCGTGGTAATATATAGCCTATAGCCTTCCTCGATAAATGCACTGTCCAATACAAAAATATTTTTTTTCTAATCGGAACAGCAGAACAAAAGAAACTGAATGCAACAGTACAACGGGTCCTAAACTACGCAACGAATTTTTTACTTGGAATGGAAGGTTTATAATTATACTGGAGAAAGTCATTCTATATAATACTAGCCTTTGAACAAAAACTATAGACTAATCTTCAGCT